CCTTATTATGCCCTTAATACATAAATAACTATTATGTCTAATGTCTTTCACAATTTTCACTGTCTCACTTAATTTTTTTTTCCACACTTGTTTTTTTATATATTCTTGTTTATTTATTAATATGTCCATTTTCTTTCTTGGTTTCTTTTCAGTATATTTAACATTGTCCAAAATTACTTATCAGCACACACAACATTTCACTTTTACAATCTTATATTTTTTCTTCTTAATCATTAAATATTTCGTAGCTGTTTGTTTTTCAAGTTTACGCTAAAGAAGTATCGGGTTTTCGCAACGCGCGCGCCATCTGGTGGACTTCGAATGCATTGCGTGAATTTAAGAATTTTCAACAATACATTTAAAGCACAGATTATACATCATTTTTAAATAAATAGGTAGTTTTTTTTACAAAAGAGAGGAAGGCATAAGTCCAGGGCCATATTACCCATTAGGCAGGAAAGGCAATTGCCTTAGGCGCCACGTAGAAATAGGCGCCTTGTCCCCAAGCAACTTAAAAAAAAAATAAAAATTGTTACCAAAATGTTTATTTTTTTCCAAAAATAACACAAATAAACAATATACAATTGTAATAACAGAATATTTTTTACTGTTTTTATTATTTTATAAAAATTTACCTTCCTTTATAATAACGAGGTGTAAAGCCGACAAAAATCGTGCCGCAAATTCACTTCTGTATAAACATATCTTTAGCACTCTTTAAACTATTTCAAAACCCCCGTATGCTCCAAGCACACGGATTCCTCTTGCATCGGGTACCCGCTGTGATGTGCTGCTCACCCTAGCGGGTACGAGCTACTAGAGGAAACTGCTGCCGGAAGGACTTGGGTGTTTTCGCGTTTATTCAAGAGTGGCACTTCTATGTGTTGTGTGTTTGGTGATAGCAGTCTGTGTTCGATAGTTAAGGTTGATTTAGCCTGGCTTTTAAATTAAATTACGTTACGTTAGATTACGTTACAAAAATGCCGGCTAAATCCACATTTAGATAGTGTTAATTTTTCTGTTTGTTTTAAGGTATTTCTGAAATTTTAATATTAAACTAATTACAATAAACCAGCAGTACATCTAACATACAATACAGAAAATTAAAGTAGATTTTATTTTTTTTAAATACTTACTAATGACATCTTGCAGAAAAACGCAGTTATAAGTCCTAACACTTTTTATTTCGTTATATTTGTTATTTTTGTATGTTATTTATGTTTTTTATGTATTTTTTTAATGATAAAAAGTATTCTAATTCATAGGGAATAATTAGGTTATAATGCTCGGGCGCCCTTAAGCTAACAGTTTGGGGTGGCTCTAATAAGCTTTTTTAAAATTTGCCCCGGGCCCCGTAAGTATAGTATCTAGTTATAGGAGCCAAATTTTTAAGTGCCTAAGGCGCTCAATTGCCTTAAGCCGGCTCTGCATAAGTCGTACTCAACAAATTTTGTTCAATTGCACAGCTAAATCGCGCATGTTATTTATGTTTTACATTGCAAGAAAAAAAATTTTTAGTACACGATTTCGATTGATTATTCCTTATATTATTGATTAAGAAACTCAACGCTTAAATGCTTATAAAGTTACGTTAGTATGTGTATTTTATCATGGTGAATTATTCTGTTTTTAATTGTAAATAAAATTCAAGAACTAAATCGTTGCATTTTCATGTTTTGCCAAAGGATCCAATTCGGTAAGAACATTTGTTGGTGCAGAATTAACTAATGATACTTTACCTAATATAGTTTGGACATTTTTAAGAAATTACTAGTAAAAAATAATTTTTGCACAAACATAACCTTAAAATCAACCATTTTTATATTTGAGTTCTCTAAAAAACGCCGACAACTGCATTTGAAACAACAAAATATTTTAAAAAACAAAATATACCTACGAATTCATGGCAACAATATTATAATGGTATTTTACCGTTGACTCAACGGCGTTGAGTGGAGACTTTCTTAATCAACGCTTTTAATAGTGCTAACTGCTGTTTAAATTTAGACGACTTATTTGTTTGACGATTTTTACTGAATTGAAATGTTTATTTTTACGTTAATCACTACTAAAATGTGTATTTATATTTACAGACTGTATGCAATTTATTTCTTCATTGAGATAAATACTGTTTATTGGAAAACCGGTAAAAACTCAACCCAGGATTTCCTCTCGAAATACACCCAACAACACAACAAATCGAGCCACGGTTTTTTTTTACGATATTTTTTTAACATTTTCCGGCTTTATTCTCAAAAACACTCGTTTGTAACATGAGCGTTTGACAGCTGATTATTAAAAGTGATATTTTTGTTACGATGATAACAGCCGAGTGGTGGCGCTACTAGCGATACTTCTTTAGCGTATATGAAGTTAACCAATGTTTAGTTATTTCTACCAACATTAAACAAAAGTCTTTCGGATAATTTAAAATTTAACCATTTTATATTATTAAAACTTACGAGACGCATACCTATACAAACTTTATATTATCTTTTTTACACTTACAAAAAATCGCACCAAAATCAAGAAAAAAATAATCAATCAGAGCTAGTCTAAGGGAGCAGACATTTAACAAACTTTTTGTATACCCAGTTAAAGTTCGTCAAAAGTTATTAAGATTTACTTTATTCCTCTGTAATCGGATTTAAGAATTTTAATGGAAGTCTCGTTGAATTATATTTGAAACAAGAAGACTAATAAGAGGAGGAAAAAAACAAAGAGGTCGAAAAGTGTTTGATACAATTTTAGGATTATATTTTCTTTAAAAACGATTTTTTCGAGCTATAAATATATAAAAAAATGCAACTGTCTGCAACAAAAAATTCCAAAGGGTTCGTTTAATTCCAATAGAGACTGCAAATGAAAAAGAAAATGCCGATCTTGGCTCAGCAATTTATTTATTAGAGCAGAATCTGTCCATTCTCTAAATACCGGCATATAAATTTAAACAGCTCTGGGTACGGAATATATGACCCTTCATTCTAATAAACGATTTTCTCATTCTGAAATACCTTTGCACGGATGTGCTAATCAGTGACGTGCCAAATTAGTTCTGAGAAAGGTAAACTTCAAAATTTCTTAAAGTAATAATTAATATTTTTATCTTCACGCGGTCTATAATTTAAACTTTATTGTTATACATGTATGTGTTATGGCCTAGGCCGATACAAATTTTTATGAGGCAAGTAATTAGTTCGATTTTTTCTCGCTGGGGTATTGTTTTTACAAATTAATCATTTTCTAAGAAATTAACGTACTAAACTGGTTTAATTTATTTATAATAAGCAATAATTTGTTTGTTTTACTGTTAATGTTTAATATTTTTCATTAAATTATTATAAAATTAAATATGAATAATAAAACAAAAATTGAGGTTAGGCAACCAAGAAAACGCACGATTCTTTTTCTACGATTTAAATTATCTTAAGTTTTAATTTGCTTTAAGTTTTCAGTGAAATTAAATGTTAAACACAGCTTAAACATTCCAAACTACCTATTTTTTAAATAAAAATCCAAACAAATTGAAATTAGATACCTACCTATTTATTAAACAATTAATTGAATTCAATGTAATAGCAAAAATCCATTTCTACTTAAATCATGTTGCTAGGTATTGTCAAACTATTACTGCTTCTAAAAGCAATAATTATTATTGTACATTTAATGTAATCTTTAGCTAATAAATAAATGAGATTCTAAAAAAATGAGGTTAGGCCGCTTTGATGTTGAATTAAATTGACCTATATAAAGTGCTTTGAAGATAAAATGTTGTAGGTATGCCATTCGGCCAAGAAGTGCCTTTTTGAGCTTAGCACAAAAAGCCTTACTTCTTAACCTAAAGGCAGTATTACAGCCGGCAATTCTTTCGGCAATTGCAATGAAAATTGCCGTAGGCATGCGCGGTAGATACATTTCGACGAATCTCTTGCAATTGCCGAAAATCGGTCCGGATGGATATTTATTACCGTTTTACGGCAATTCTGGGGTGAAATCTGGTAACTTTAATGTTACCAACCCTACTACAAATTCCCTACAGAGACGCTGTTTGACTTAAACAGTTTAAGGTTATTTTTTTATGATTGGCATTGTGTTCAAAGTTCTAGTATCCATTTCACTCATTAATTTTTAAATATCTCTACTAAATAACAAATAAACTTTAGTGTTTACAAAATCGTATATTTTTCTTCGGTTGGTAGCACGGTAATAAACAGCAAGTTTTCTTGCCATTGCCGGCTGTAAAACAACATGCAAGACGGCCTTGAAAATTAGATGGCAAGAAAAATTGCTGCAAGAAAAATTGCTGCAAGAAGAATTGCCGGCTGTAATACGGCTTTAATGACATAAATAACTATTAAAACGTTTTTTTACAGCCTAAGCCATAATCAATCATTTTAGTAGTGAGTATTGGCATTATTAAAGTTTAAATTATAGAAAGTTCGAAGACAACTCAGATAGGTATCTAAATTTATGGGAAAGAACATATTAAGATTAAAGTTATCAAGGAGCTAAGTAAAAAGTTCTTTTAATACTGACTAAAAGACAAATAACTTCCAACATATCTTGGGTTAATTGAAAATGCCACAGAAATAAAAGGAAAGTCCTAGAAACCTTGTCTATGATTAAAAGAATTGGCTGTTTAATTAAAAGATCACTTGAACTGTTTCATCAAGTTGATAAATAGGTTTAAAAGGCACATTTTTTAAATTATTATTTTGCACTTTTTGACTTGTTTAAATTGTTTTTTTCTTTTACAGTTTTTAATTGTTTATTTGTAAATTAACTTAAAACTTTTAAAATAACTAATGTTCTTATTGGTAGCCATCTAGAAGATAGTAGTTGAACTAACAAATAAAACGCCACCTACGAGATAGTAGCGGAACTATTGAAATGCATACAAGCATTGCTTTAAAGATGGCGTTGAAGTTTTGCATTGTCAAAATAAATTGACAAACACGATGTTTGTGAAGTAATTATTGAATAATTTCATAACGTTTCGAGATTATTTCCATGCTGCGTACACATTTGCACAACAATTAACCACCGCTTTATCAAAATTGACCTTTTGCCAACTTAAAGTAAATATACAATGCCCAACATCAGTGCGATTGTAGATGTCTCAATTAGATCAGTTTTCGAGCTCATGTTACACGATTTAAAACGTAATTTTCTGTGATAACGAACGGACGTTTTTAGAAAAATTATCCACGTGAAATGGCTCTACCCAGGTTGTTCGTTCGCGCCAGGAGTTTGGCTCAGAAAACGACAGTTTTTAACAACAATTATAATAGGTTAATTCATACGTCAAATACGTCACTTGCAGGTAAATATTACATCATTATAATTATATACAGGGTGATTTTAAGCCGAAAAATAAAACAGCAACAATTTGAGATGGTTATGTAATGCACAGTTTGCAACCACCTTTACAGGTGCTCCAGATCATTACATACATTTTGTATGTTTTAATTCATAAATCGCATTATCTATTTATCAAACTAACTAGATTTTATATGCATATACAGAATATGTTTCACAATAATCTTTGATGATATTTAAAAGGTGTTTTGAAGAGACAATTCCTTAGAAAAATGTTATTTTCCATTTAACTGTTAAACATATTCAAAATGATTTTGGGGTTTTAGGGGTTTGAAAACAAGCAGGAAAACTAATCAAGAATATTGTTTTCTGAAAATCAAATATTGCAGGTATTATTTTGTCACTTAGTAACTCAATTCGGGACACTGAATAATATGGCATGCCATTTCACTTTTTATTTGTAAATGTTTTAAAAGTAAAAGAAAATTGAAGTAGGTTTTTTAAAATTATAGAATATGCACCCCTGTAAAATCTTTATTTATTGTGCGATTTTAATCGGATTTGTTTTTAAGTGTAGATCTTGATAAACTGTATTTTTGGAACAAAAAACGCCATATTAGTACCAAATACAAGGCCTACTATGTCAGTTTTTAAGAATTCATATTAGCGATTTTTTTAAACAAAATCTAAGCACTGCACTGGATTCACCACCCCTCAAAGCGACCCTTTACTAAATTTTATTGAAAAATTTTATGTAGAAAAATGCACAATCATAACTACAAAAAATTATTTTGTAAAGTTATCCATGAAAAAATTGAAATAAAATTAAACTAATAGTAACATGGTACTATTACATAATAAAAATTATAGAATTAATTTTATCTGTACACATAAAATTATATAATTAATTTTATGTCTACAAAAAAAATTAACTTGGCGCTTTGGGAATTCGACACAGTGTTGCCAACCGTACCATAATTGAATACGTCAATGCAGAAACTGAATATGTCCTACCTATCTAGTTTTGAGATAAATAAGAAAAACTGAACAGAAAGTGGACATATGTTCTGGACATATTCAGTTTCTCTACTATATTAACGCCTTTGTATATTCTAGATTACCGTGACATGTGAAATTTCTACGCCATTCGATCGGGCTCCCTTTACTTATAGTAAATCCATGTTTAACTCAATAGCCCTAAAAAGTGGACATATTCAGTTTCTGCATTGACCTATTCAATTATGGTATTTGTACCATAATTTCTTTTTTTACATAATTTAACATAATTTATTATAATTTTTAAGCATTCTTTTGCACCGAAAATAAATTAGGCAATGTTGCGATCAGTCCTTCCAGTATAGTATTAAATTTTCATAAACAGCTGTTAACATAAATTTATGAAAATTTAATGTTCTAGGTTAGCAGCAGTTATAACTGTTATGTTCTTTTCTATTCAAACTTTTGTTTTTCACCTAAGTATACATATATGGGTTTTAAAAAAAGATTTTTTAGAGCGGTATAAAAAATTAAAAAAAAAAATTGTATAAATTTCGAGGCCTCAGAAAATATGTGCAAATACATGACTAAAGAGAATTTATACAATAATCAAGACTGTGATGAATGCGATATTATTTTTTTACCAAAGTTTTTTTTGTTTATGCCTAATTTATTTTATTTTATCAAAGTTTGTGTTAAAATAAACATGACTCTTGCCTAGTTCCTTGAATTTTAGTCCAAAAATGTACCATAATTTGTGCCATAATATTTGTTTGGTGCGTACCATAATGTACCACTATTTTTCTAAATGTGTACCATAATTTTTATTTTGAAGTGGCAATTGCATTAGTTCAAATGCATAGTAGGTATGTATGCGTAATTTATCTACGAGGTGTGTTCAGAAAATATCGGGAATTTTCGTTTTTTGAAACAAATATTTATTTATTCATCTACATTAATGTTGTCGCCTTCAAAATAGTCCCCATTGGATATTATGCACATGTGCCAGCTCTTCTTCCAATACTCGAAACACTTCTAAAACTCGATCTTTGGGATAGCCTTTAGTTCTTTCAGCGATGCGCTTTTAATGTCATCTATGCTTGCAAAACGACGTCCCTTTAAGGTTCTCTTTATTTTTGGGAATAGGAAAAAGTCAGACAGGGGCATGTCTGGCGAATATGGAGGCTGGAGAATCATTACAGTATTGTTTTTGGCCAAAAATTTTGTTCAAAATTTAACAATTTTAGAACAAATTTTGCTGCCACGCGTTTTATACCCAAAACATTCAAAAAAATTTCATGGGATGAGCCAATCGATATACCAACATCATCAGCGACTTCTCTGATGGTTTATAACCATTTCTTCCACTTTTTTCATGTTTTTATCGGTTGTTAATGTGCTTGTGCGTTCGGGGCGTTCGTTATCTTCAACGTCTTCACGGACATCTTGGAAACTCTTATACCACTTGTAAACTCTTGTTTTACTTATAGCAGACTCACTATAGGCCTTTGTTAACATTTCACAGAATTTATTTCATTTTTTAAGCAAAATTGAATACAAATTCTTTGATCCATTTCTTTTAACGAACGAAAAATCACCGAGCTGATAAAACAGGTAAAGTAAACAATGAAAACAGCTAAAGTTTTTATCATACTTCGGGGGCATGTATACCAACATAATAAAGAAAATTTTATGACAACCGGACCCTCCAAACCCGCGAAATTTAACAATTCCCGTTATTTTCTGAACACACCTCGTACACTCAGAGAAATATCAAGTTATGAAAAGCATATGAAATTATATTAATTTAAATAATCGGGTAAATTTGATTCAAATAGAAAAAAATTTAGTTTTACATTCATTTACCAACAGTTTTACAATGTTTTGAAACACTTTTAAAGTGTACCCTCTTTAAAATATATTTACAAAAAGAAATCCATTTATTTCATTGCCTTTCTCAAAGTTGTTTCAAAAAGATATGTATTATACAATTGTTATGCACCTATTAATTTAATGGGAAACACCAATGACGCCAAAACATATTTGAATCCCTAATAATTCAAAGGGATTCAAATATGTTTTGGCGTCATTGGTGTTTCTCATTAAATTAAAAGGTGTATAACAATTGTATAATACATATATTTTTAAAATAACGTTGAGAAAGGCAATGAAATAAATAGATTTCTTTTTGTATATATATTTTAAAAAGAGTACACTTTAAAAGTGTGTAAAACTGTTGGTAAATGAATATAAAACTACATTTTTTTCTATTTGAATCAAATTTACCCGATTTTTTAAATTAATATCATTTCATATGCTTTTCATGACATGATATTTCTCTGAGTGTACGTCAACTTTGTCGCCAATATGCGGAGATATTCGGGTTTTGTTCTTCTATCTATATAATTATAGAAATTATTTCTATGTATATAATTCACAAAACTAGAAGGTAGATAAATTAAACATTTGAACTACTACAGTTGCTACTTTCGGCCGCACTTTCGCAGCGCCAAATTAATTTTACGTGTAGACATAGTTAAAATTAATTCTAAAATTTTTAATAAAATATTTTTATTACAAAGTCATCATCATTTTTTATTAGAATTAAAATTATGCGTAACTTAACATTTCTTAAACAATTCAAAAGTAAAACGGCGTGCCCTAATTAATTTTAAGAAATATTAAGTTAAATATTAATGTATCACAAAAATGTTGCACACAGAAAAATTACATTAAATAAAGAATTCAACATCTTATATAAACATATTTAAAAAAAAGCATAACTTCTTTAACAAGCAATTTATTTTTTAAAGTGATGATATTTAACTTAATATTTCTTATCCGATTAAAAAGTGAAACAATGCGCCATAAAATAAAGACTTAACCAATACTTTGACAATTAAATAACAGCATTCAGTCAAGCTTATATCTTTCAGTCAAGCTTATATCTTTTATATAGTTAGTTTTTTTGTAAGTAGTGATATTAATTTTATTATTTAATTTTAGAACGTCTTTTCACACAAAAACACGAATGGGTGACAGTTGATGGAAATATTGGAACTGTTGGTATCTCAAAATACGCTCAGGTATGTTTTATACTAATATGCACTTTTTTGTTTTCCAACAAAACACTAATAGTGTAACTATATAGAAATTGTTTAATTTATACAGGAAGCGCTAGGTGACGTTGTATACGCCCAATTACCAGAAGTAGGAACAGATTTAAAGCAAGGAGGTTAGTTAAAACACAATTTACGCGTTTTTTAAATTTTTATAATGTTTGTACTATTGACACAATTCCTACCTCAACGCCTTCTACACTCACAGGCAAAATAATCGATCCACACAAATTTTCGATAAATTTCAATCGCAAATAACTTTTTTATTTGATGTCGGATTTAAACGAATATTAAAGAATATTGTAGATAAATTAATGGACAATCGCTCAAATTTTAAAAAATTGCTAAAAAATAGACGTACGTTTATAATATACAGGTTTAAACAAAAAGATGTTTTTTACCATAAGTTTAAGACACTCTGTAGAGTGGCAAAACCGTATATTGTTCTAAATTAATTTTATTTATCAAGTCACATCTATTCTTAACAGTTTTATTTTTGGTTCACCTCGATATATTTATTTTTGTGTAATATATTGATTTTTTTAAAAAACATTGCAATTTCCAATATTTTTCTGTATGAAGAACTAAGGTTGCTATGGTCCATCCATAGGCTATGGAGAATGACAGTGACAGTTTTGTTGAATCATTTCATACTTGGACATGTCATACACGGCTTTCAAAAGCTATCAAATTGTTTTTTGCAAATTAATGTTTAAATTTTGAGGTGTCTTCTTACTTTAAAAATGGATATGTGTCCGAATGATGTTGCCAGAGCCATTAATTTAATCCAGATTGGACGGTCACAGTATTACGTGGCAAGTGTTTTAAACGTCACAAGAAGTTAAGTACAAAGGGCAACATCAGTCGGAGACATTTTTAAAAGTAAGAAGACACCTCAAAATTAACACATTAATTTGCAAAAAACAATTTGATAGCTTTTGAAAGCTGTATATGACATGTCCAAGTATGGGATGATTCAACAAAACTGTCACTGTCATCCTCCATAGGCTATGGATGGACCATAGCAACCTTAGTTCTTCATACAGGAAAAATATTGGAAATTGCAATGTTTTTTTTTTTAATTCATATTTTCCACAAAAATAAATATATCAAGGTGAACCAAAAACAAAACTGTTAAAAATAGATGTGTCTTAATAATTTAAACTTAATTTAGAACAATATACGGTTTTGCCACTATACAGAGTGTCTTAAACTTATGGTAAAAAACATATTTTTGTTTAAACCTGTGTATTAAAAACGTACGTGTATTTTTTAGTAGTTTTTAAAATGTGAGCGATTCTCCATTAATGTATCTACAATATTCTTTAATATTTGTTTAAATCCGAAAACAAATAAAAAAGTTATTTGCGATTGAAATTCATCTAAAATTTGTGTGGACGATTATTTTGCCTGTGAGTGTATACATCACAATAATTTTTTAGATGAATGTGGTGCCCTTGAAAGCGTTAAAGCAGCCAGTGAAGTGTACAGCCCTGTCTCAGGAAAAGTGACAGAAAAAAACTCAGCTGTTGAGGACACCCCTGGGCTTATTAACACATCTTGCTACGATAACGGTATAACCTAAAACAAAAATACAAACTACCTGCATAATATATTATATATTTTAGGATGGCTGTATAAGCTCGAATTAAGCAATGCAAGTGAGCTAAAAGAATTATTAAACGAAGCTAAATACACAGAGTTCCTAAAGACTCAAGAAGAGCATTGAAAAGTTACAGTATAATATTTATATTAAATAAATAAAGTTATTTGTTTGATTTTTCCTATTTTATTTATTGATCATGTTCTATATTATATTTGATAAATTATTACTTTGCTGGAGGTTATCAAAAGAAAATAAGAGTGTTGTAAATATTAGGGCAAAGTTCAAACTAAAAAAATTCTTAGTTTATGTCATTAATTTTATCTTAAACATCATATGCAATTACTTACGAAGTAACGTTAACGGTTGATTGTATATTTTTCACTAATGAAAAAAACATTCATATTTATAAATTATTATATATGTATATTATACTTTTTCCATGTATATTATATTATACAATGTATAATAGTCATATTGGACAGGGCCAAAAAAATCGACTATTTTTTTTGTAAAGTATATCAAAAATATTGTTTGGGGTGGCAAAAAAAAAATATGGTGAAAGTTTAAGTCCATAATATTAATATTAAGAGGTCTATCATCGCAATTTTACCATTGAGTTTAACTAATTTGACTTAAGAATATTTTTTGAAGAAAATTGAATGCTCTACAAAAAAGGTTTGATTGGAATTTCCCGTCAGATGAACCTTTTTCTTACAATCATGCCTTAAAAATTTATATAGTTTTACAATTTGATCTTTTAACTTTGGAATTTTGTAATTCATGTAAAAATCATGATACTGCAGTACCCGGAAAAAAACCGATAAATATTCTTATGGGAAATCAAATGCTCTACAAAAAAAGTCTTTTATCATTTTTGGCTAAATTCACTCCATCAAAAGTTATTCAAGGTTAAATTTGAAGTCAAAACGAAATTTTAACCTTGCATAACTTTTGATTGAGTGAATTTATCCCATAAGAATATTTATCGGGTTTGTATGGGTACTGATTTTTACATGAATTACAAAATTCCAATTTAAAAGATCAAAATGTAAAACTATACCAATTTTTAAGGCATGACTTTAAGGAAATGGTTCATCTGACGGAAAATTTCACTTTAACCTTTTTTGTAGAGAATTTAATTTTCTTTAAAAAATATTTTCGAGTCAATTTTGTTAAACTCTTGGGAGTTCTGAGACAAAATCTTGCTGAGGAAAAAAAATTAAAATTGCGATCATAGACCTCTTAATATTAATATTATGGACTCAAACTTTCACAATAATTTTTTTTTGTTACCCCAAACCATATTTTCGATATACTTTTCAAAAAAAAAATTGTTGATTTTTTTGGCCCAGTCTAATACATTCGTACAGAATATATCCATTAATAGAATCAAAATTGTTTGCCACAATTTGAGATAAAAGCGCTTCATTACCCTATTTTCCATTCAGTGGAAAAACCATAGAAAACCCGAAGGGACTCCCTTCAAGGGAGGAATTACTAAATACAAATTTTGTATTTTTAAATCAAGTTGTACATAGGCAACTCCGTTTACAAAGACTCATAAGCATAGTTGCATATATACAATCCAAAATTAATGCATGCAATAATTTTTATCGGATAATTTCTTTCCATAGTTTATTATATTAACTTTTTGGTTTTATTCGTAAAAGGCATAAATTTTTAATGAAACTATTAGTAATAAGTAAAATTTCATATATTTTTTGTAGACTTGTTTTTAAAACCAAATAATGTTTAACAATGAATGTTATTATTTTATAAATAACAAATAGGTAAGTACACTGTTGAAAATTTTTATGTATTTTTAACATATTTCTTGTGTCCCAGAAAGTCCACTCAAAATTTTTTAGTTGCATTAACTTATTTCACTTATGTTAATTGATTACACAACATAATATGTAAAAAAAGTGAATATAACTTTTCTTTTTAACATAACTGCAAAGTTAATTTAACAAACAGGTTTATGCTATTTTTATTAAAATAAAATTGTTGTTTTAACATAAACCAATAGTTAATTTGATTTTAAATCTTTATAATTTTGACATAATTAAAAATGTTAAATTTATTTACACAAAAATGTGTTACTTTAACATTTAAATTTTTGTTGATTTTACACTAATAATTTGTCCTTATAACATATATTAATTTGTTGTTTTAACAATAATTTAAATTAACTTTTACAAAAATAATTGTGTTTTTTCATTTTACAGCCATTCCGGAAAAAAACGTGACGTCTGTTACTGTTTAAGCCAATATCTTGAGAAAAGCTTTTTTCATAAAAAACAAGGTGCATTTATGAAAAAAGCTTTTCTCAAGATATTGGCTTAAACAGTAACAGACGTTACGTTTTTTCCGGAATGACCTTAAAATGAAAAAAACAATTATTTTTGTAAAATTTAATTAAAATAATTGTTAAAACAAATTAATATATGTAATATACTGTACGTATACGTACAATTTTAACAAATAATCGCCGTTTGGTAAAACACTTATAAATTAATTAAAAAAATTGGACAACAAATAAAACAATTATATAAAATAGGAACATTTTTATTTATTAAAAATAAAACATAACATTAATATAATATAAATATACCTTTAAATTTAGTTTAACAAATTAACACACCACAGATCACACCCTACGTACTCATCAAGCGACTGCTTTGACTGTCGAAGTTCGACAGGCTTCGAGAACAAAAGGCCTTGCGGGGGGTACCGGTCTTAATCGAAAGCAGGCGATAATTAACGAATAAAGAAAACAACATAAATATTTTATTTACTTTAACGAAAAAATAATAATCAGTTGTTTAAATTTGAATAAAAAAAATTGTATCTCCAAATTTAACATATATTTTTAAGTTAGATTAACACTTGTTAAGGAATCATTATAACTAATGTATTTTTATTATATTATATATTTTATTATGAAATATTAACATATTTTTTTTGTAACATTAACTATATTATTATATTAAAATTTACAGAAAATAATTATTTAACATTATTTTTTGTGTAAGACCTTTTAACAAATTTATTTTTGTTAAATTTTAGAATTTTGATTATTTTAATTTGTATATCAAGTAACATATATTGTTTATGTCATAAACATTAAAAAGTTTATGTAAATTTTTACATATTTTATTTAACACACATTATTTTTAACACACATTTTATAAATTTTCAACAGTGTATTTTTAAAAGAAATTTACATAAAAATACATTGTATTGGTTAATAATGTATTTAGAAAGTTCAAGTAATTTAGGTAAATCTACAGTATACATTATATCTAACTTAAAACCCTATTAGTTTTGGTACCTATTTACTTAAGTAATTACTAAATACCTACATTATCTTTATTAGGAATACCTACCTAACGAGTTGGAATATTTTAATGTAAAAAATAATTATTAGGTACATTTTAATTTTTAAACATTTTTAGATTTAGATTATATTATTGTTGATTATTCAATGAAAAATATTTACTTTTTTAACACAATATTTTGCATAAATTTTTAAAACGTCAATATTTTTAGTTCGTAAGTAAATAAGGAAATAATTTGTTTTTTTACAAAATAAATACAAAATAATTGCGTGCGTTCTTGAAATTAAATTCATAAAACATAAATTGGTTTTAAATTGTATAATAAAATACATATAATAGATACTGTGGGCAAAAAATGCTATCCCTGTTAAATTTTTACTTGTTTTTTGTAAGATGCATCACCATGGTGACGTGAAAATTTATTCGTACTTAGACAAAATTAGGGGGCATCCATTAATTACATGAGGCAATTTCGGCGATTTTGCTCGACATCCCCCTCCCTTAATCTCACGTGAGATTTTTTTAATTGCTTAGTTTTGATGTTAATAAATTAATCTGTGCTTGATTCCATTAGATTTGTTTAAAATAAAGTTTGCTTATATTTTTTTATATTTAACACTAGTATTTAAGATTTCTAATAAACGGAGCATACATGGTGAGAAATTTACATTCAATTTTACTATGGGTGAATTTGGCTTTTTCTTTTTTTCCTTAAAATTCTCGTGTTAGATGGAGTCACAAAAGGAATAAATGTCAATTTGAATTCACATTTATAGATGGTTAATGAAAAACAAAAAAAATTGTTTAATATTGATAATAATAATAAAACATTTTTTTATATAGAAACAAATTATTTTATATTTTTTACTATCAAATTACCACTATTATTAATTACACAGAGTCTACTACTTTTGCAAAGTTCCAAAGTTTTTTAAATTTGATTATTTAATAAATATTTATTTAGTTATTCATATTTAATAAATGAATGAATTGTTTCCAAATAAATGAATTTATTAATAGTTAATAATATTATTATGTAAGATTTAATCCTATTTTGGTGGAGAAACATTTTTTACTTAATTTAACCCAGTTTTCTGGCAATTTTTCGGAAAAAAATTACGTGATATTTGTCTAGAGCACCATCCCGCCCACGCGTGGCCACCTGAGATTGGGTGAGGTGTAGCTCGACCCCCTCCCCCCTAAACACCTCACGTAATTAATGGATGCCCCCTTACCCTTATGTGGCCTCACCCTTCTATACACGCTTATCTTATCTTGGCAGTTTTAAAAGCCAACAAAACGATTTTGTGAGATTTAAATTCCCGTTAAACAAATACCTCAATAATTTCTGAATTCAACCGTTTTGGAATAAAAAATTAAAATTCTTGTTTTTACGATATCTCGGAAATGCGCAACTTTTCCCTAATAGTTGAACTATGTAGATATCTCTAAAGATATGAAATATCCATGCTTGGAACTCGAAAAACATACACGCTGTATATACACAGTGTTGTCAAGTTTGTTTTAAAATTAACTGCTTAATTATATTAAACTATATATTTACAAAAGTTAAAAATAAACAAAAATTTACTTTATTAATTTGTTAAAATTACGCGCTTTTTAGAAAAACACAATTGGAAGTTTCTGGGGGACGAAAAAAGATATCGATTTGAAATTTTATAAGTGTTTATAATCTATTGGTCTATTTTTCTAAAATATTTGAACAAAATGCCACTTCCCGATTGACCGGAAGTGACATCAACTTTGTTGTATCATATAGATTACCCTATATATTTTATCTTTAAATTCTACACACAATTTTGAGTAAAA